AAATGAAGCGATTTTGATGAGGCTGCTAATTAAAGACACTTCATTAGCAGCAGGGGAGGCGGCTCCTGGCTGCGGCTGCTGCTGTCACCAGGAAATTGGATTCCTCTGAGCCCCACGCGCCTCCTCTCCCCTCCCTGGGCAGCGGGGAGCGTCTGTGCAGTACCCCAGCAGGAGCGGGCCCAGGTCTGGCTCTGCCTGGGGCCCTTCTGAGCTCGATTCCTGGTGGTCCCAGCCCCAGGCCACAGCCTGGGGGCATCTCCTCGGCCTGCCGTCCCCGCTGACCAGGACAAAACGCCCCCAAGGAAGACCCGAGACACAAGGACACAAAATCCTGCCCCCCCCTCCAGGCCTGGCTACCGCCGGTCCCGGCCCCTCTGCCTGCCAGCAGCCCCCTGCATGCTCCCCTGCCAGGCCCAAGCAGGGGACCCAGCTTCTCCTCTGTATTTCCTGTTGTTCGTTGGTTGGCGATGGAGGTGCTGGGGGGCAGGAGATGCCGGAACCACATTTCCCCACGTTTCCATCGCATTTCTGAAATGCTTGTAAATTGGTGTCTGCATTAATCCCACTGCTACTATCTTCATCACCTGCTACACGGGAAGAGTCCAGGTTTTGCTTTGTGACTGTAAAAAACAGTTTGCCCTGAAACTGTGAACCCCACCCGGAGGGATCGTCTCCCACCCATCAAGCAGGCCGATCAAAACTCAACAGGCCATGGTGGGACATCACAATATGATGTTATGATGTTAATATTTGTTAATTGCCCCGTTACACCCATGAAGAGGCTACGTGCAAAAGGCCTCGTCCCATCAGCTTGAATTCTGGAAGGAAGGAAGAAAGTGGACAAGAAAATTGTCCATCTACTGCTGTTAGGACTCTCCCGGGGCTGGAGCTATGAAATAGAAGCAGAGATCCCCAGGTCAGCCTGGGTTAGCCCTGAAAGACGTTCGGTGCTGATCGATTGCTACAACTGTCACCTTTTGAAACCATAAACCATAACTCATTTGTGTGTATACGTTGCCTGCTTTAACCTGTAAATAACCTGTAAACTCACATTTCTTTTTCCTAGTTAATAAACCCTTTGTTCATTACTATCGGACTGGCTACAAGCAGTGTCTATGGTGTGAGATCTGAGGCACAAACTGACCTGGGGTAAGTGACTGCTCTCTTGGGACTGGAAGCAACCTGAATCTTTTGTGATCATAGAATCATAGAATATCAGGGTTGGAAGGGACCCCAGAAGGTCATCTAGTCCAACCCCCTGCTCAAAGCAGGACCAATCCCCAATTAAATCATCCCAGCCAGGGCTTTGTCAAGCCTGACCTTAAAAACTTCTAAGGAAGGAGATTCTACCACCTCCCTAAGTAACGCATTCCAGTGTTTCACTTTGATCTTTGGTGTAAGTGACCATGTATCACTTAGTCCAGCTTGTCTGGGTGGCAAGATAGACTGGAGTGCCCAAGGGGACTCCCTGGGACTCCAGGGTGAGTCTCCGAGTGCTTCTGGAGTTCATCTTCGTTACTGGGTTGGTGAAATCTAACTACAGACCATATCACCAGTTTGGGGTCTCAGCCCTGCATCCTGACAGTTTCCCCTGAGGTTGGCACCCCCAGTGGTGAGCCCCTCATGACGGGGTGAAGCTGTGCTTTAACCCACCCTCCTTGATGTGGTTTCAGTGGAAAACCTGCCACATGCCCCACCCGAGCTCTGCAGCGAAAGGCGCGAGCTGTCGGGGGAGAGCATTGAGCAGTGTGTTGCTTGCAGCCCCAAGATGTGAAGCCGAGTCGGGGGGATTCAGGCACTGTGGAACGGGCATTGCTTGGGGCAGAACAGAGAACCGGGGTGTGATGTTATGAGTGTAATATATCTCATTGAAAGGTGACAGGGCCAGAAAGAGTTAACGAACTCCCAGACTGGCCTGACCCCCAGCCGAACTTTAAAGCCTGGTTAGGAAGAGATGGAAATGGAAAGAGCTGTGAAATGCAGCCGGCATGGTGAGAGAGAGAAGGGGAGCTGTGTGCTCAGGGCTTGTGATGTCAGCAAACGAGGCTTGGCTATGACTTTGATTCAAAGACCAAAAAAGGAGGATTAACATTTAGGAAGACACTTGAGTGACATAGTATTGTTGTCTATGTGCCTCTTTGAAGGTTGTGGTAACCTGTGTCTGAACTGTTAATGGATAAATGACCCTGTGCTAATTGCCAGGGTGTTTGGGAGAAGGAAAGTGAAGCCGATTGTCTTCTCAGGCCAAGAGGCTGCTGGAAATGTATAAAAACCTTGGGACACGATCCTTCTTCATCTCAGATCTGCTTTGGGTTTCAAGAGGGGGAAACCTTAAGCCATGAGGATTGAGATCCCCAGTCACTGACTGGAGTCACCCTGAATATGGACATTGGACTGTAACCTGTAGACTATTTCTAAAAGGACTTTTGGCAAATACAAGCTCATCTTTGCTCTGTATCTGAACCTCAAGAATTGAATTCAAGTCTGTCTGTATACTGATCTTTCAACCAACTCTTTTCCTTTTTAATAAATTTTAGCTTAGATAACAAGAATTGACTATAAGCGTGTATTTTGGGTAAGATCTAAGTTATCATTTGACCTGGGTGTGTGGCTGACCCTTTGGGATTGGAAGAACCTTTTCTTTTATAGGATGAAATAAGATTTTCAGAATTTATTATCGTATGGTTGACAGGTGTGTCTGGACGGAGGCCTGAGGCTGGGCACTTTAAGGGAAGTGCGTTATTTGGACGTCTGAGTAACCAGTGAGGTGCTATAGAAGCTGGTTTGGCCGGCTGGGTAAATCTAACTATTGGAATATCCACCAGCGTGTGGGGTTTGTCTGCCCCGGTCTATTTGCAGTTCACCCTGATTGAGTGAGCTCAGCCGGCTCCCACGGGCAGCACCGTCACACGGGGCTAGGGCGAGGAGCAGCGCGGACCTGCGAAGAGACGGGCTGAGCAAATGACAAACTTTGCTTCCCCAATGGGAGCATTAAAGGGCAGGGACAGAGGAAACTGCAGCGGATTACAAATGAGCCACAGCTGGGTAAACACTGGAGCCCAGCTTGGGAAAGGAAGGATGGCTCAGGCCTGAGCCTGGGGTCTGAGAGACCCATGTTCAATTCCTTGCTCTGTCACCAACTCCCCGTGTGACCCAATCCAATTTGGGCTTGTCTCCATGGGAAAACTTAGCAGCAGAATTATACTGCCTTAAATGACAGCGCTGTCGGTACCGCCCCGGGTCCGGCCTCTGGGGCGAGCCTGGCTTTTCCCGGTGTGGCTCAAACAGACCTGAGTGAATCTGGAAATCTCCACTCGTACCTAGATCTGCCCAGGGAGTGACAGCCGCATAACGACTACCCCAGTCTAATTCTGCTGGTAAATTTCCCCATGTAGACCAGCCCTCTGAATCTCTGTGCCTCAGTCCCCCAGCTGTACTGCAGGGGTAAGAGCCCTGCTTGGTGGTGGGAGATGAGAAGACGGGGGGTGGGGGCTGCTCAGATCCTGCGGGGATGAGGCCAGAGTAGCACCTGAGAGACATCTGTTAGTAACAAGCACGGGGGCAATTGCAACACAATACCCAGGTGCCCCGCACAGCAGATGGCTCCGCGCCTGCCATTGACCATGTCGCAATCGTGCGGGGCTCTTAGTGGAAATGGCAAAGCCACCTGGTGGTAAACCACATCCGGGAGCGTACGGCAGATGCCCCCAGCTGCAGTGATGAAGCTGGAGGGGGGCATTTGCGCGAGTGCCCCGGTTTGCAAGGGGCCGCAGTGGGTTGGTTTGGGAGGCAGGAAATCAACGGAGCAGCTAGTTCGAGCAGAACCGGTGGGGGGACGTCTACACGAGCTGGGAGGTGTGACTCCCAATGTGACTCTAGTGTAGACGTGCCCTATAAGGACAGCTCCCATTCCATGGATGTCCCGCGTGAGCTTGGCTTGACAAGCAATGTACACGTGCAGATGACCCAACAGGTAACTTCTCTCCTGATCCGGATGCTGATGATACTTGTCAACGGTTTGATGCCGCCTTTTGTGGCCTGGTGATATGGATGCCAGCAGCCACGCGCCACCATCCGCCCACCCCCTTACTGAGCAGTGAAGGAAAATCTGGCCGTGACCCGATGGCAGGATGGGGTGTTGCTGAGTGCACAGAGCTACCCGCTGAGGGGGTGCCAGGTTTGGATAGCCCCCGCCCAGCGAGTGAGCCGTCAGCCCGAGCCCCCGCCCAGCGTGGCAGGGGAGGCCATCGGGTTTGGGCTGAGAAAGGCCGCCATGATTTCCTGGTCTGGGTGCAGGCCAGCGGGGCAGGTGGGTCTCGCTCGACACGTGGCACCGCTGAGCCCGAACCCAAGCGCCTCCCGCTGTGGAGACACGTGGCTCTGCGGGCTCCTCCGTAATTGAACCGGGCCCCTGGTAGCCTGTGACCCTGCTCCTCCCGCTGCTTGCAGTCCAGGGCACAATCCACAGGCAGCTCCTTCAGCCCGGTGCCTTTGACGGGACCTCAGCCGGGGGCACCAAACGAGCTGCTGAAGAAGCCGGTGGCGGCTGGCCACGTTCTCCAGGGCAGATCTCCCCGGGGCTGCCCCGGTGCCCGGAGGGTTGAACGTGGAAAGGTCCAGCCCCTCCGACTAATGGGCTGCAACATCTCCCTCCTCCCGAAAGGCAAAGCAAATCACGGTAGCCGCCATGTGATTCCCTTCTGCCCTGCAGGGTTGAACCAAGGGCACCATGCCACACCTCGCCCCGTTGGGTCAGCTGCCGCCGTGCAAGGCCTCTCGCCTCTTCTGCCCATCAATCAAGCGGAGAGGCCCCAGGGCCCACCTCTCCCTGGCCAGGAATCCTCCAATGGCCTCGCGGGCACCGAGCGATTCCCCCCCTCTCCCTCTGATTTTTCCTCCCTGCTTTAAAAAAAAGTCAAATAAAGTAAGTGCTGAAATGAGCGAGAGGGCTGCAGTCAGGCGGCCCCATCCTCTGCCTCTCTAGGGCCCGCATCGCCCCGATGGAGGGGAGACCTGCCCTGCACGCCCACCGACGGATCACCGGGGTGAGTGACCTGGCTGGGGGAAGGGGAGCTCCTGGGCTTACCTCCCTGGCCCCAGCCCGCCCACTGCCTCCCTGCCAGGCTCTCTGCGCCGGCCGGCTGCCCCGGCTGGCGTTCCGGGTGGGATTAGGGGGATTAGACCTGCATGCGACTTGGGCAACCTGGAGCCGGCTGCAGCTCCCAGCTACCGTTCCTGGGGCCGGGGCAGCGCAGGGATGTCGGCCACTGGGCTGGCATAACCCCCCTGCTTTGAGGGTTTGGGGGGGATATCTCAATTTGTCAGGACTGTGGGTTCTGTCCCACCTCTGGGAGGGGAGTGGGGTGTAGTGGTTAGGGGGAGGGGCTGGGAGCCAGGACTCCTGGGTTCTATCCCGGCTCTGGGTGGGGTGTAGTGGGTAGAGTGGGGGCACTGGGAGCCAGGACTCCTGGGTTCTCTCCCAGCTCTGGGAGGGGTGTAGTGGTTAGAGTGGGGGTACTGGGAGCCAGGAGTCCTGAGTTCTATCCCAGCTCTGGGAGGGGAGTGGGGTCTAGTGGTTAGAGCAAGGGGGGGCTCCTGGGTTCTAGTCCCGTCTTTGCTGTGGACTCACTGCACAATGCTGAGGCAGACCCAGCACTCCTCGGTCCTGTGACATCCCTGGCTACGAGCCAGGACCAACACTGGGCTGTGTCCCGGGGGGGTGCGAGGGTTCGCTCGCTCTCAGGAAGCAGTTGCACTAAGGAGAAGCTGCTGCCCCAGGGAGCAATAGGCAGCTTTGTGGGGGAGCCTCCAAGGCAGGCGAGGCCCGTGTCAGGCCCGGCATGGGCTGGGCTGGGGGCACTGCAGGCCCATGGCGGGAGGGTCCCCAGAAAAACAAGGTGCAGCCGGTGGGGTCTTTCAGGGACCCCCAGTCTCACCCAACTTGGGAACAAACCCTGTTGTACTGCCCCCCGCTCCTTCGTTCTGCATGGCCTCACTGGGGAGCAGTGAGCAAACCCCCCATTCCTGCGCAGTGACCAGCTGGTTCCAAAGGGACCCCCCCCTTCCTAGAGCCGCCGACTGAAGCGGGGCACTGCCCAGGGTCGGCCCGGTCCCCGTTCACACCCGCTAGCTGCTGGGACTTGGGGATGGGCCTGGCTAGAACTGGGGCGAGGGGATTAAAAGTGACGGCTGAAGGAACTTGCTCCCCCTTCCCCCCCTCCCCCAGCCCCATTGTCATCTCCCACCCCTTTCGCCAGGCCGAGTTAAACAAGGGACCCCCCCCCCACTCCCCAACTTTTGGGCTTCTCCAGAAAGGGCCAGAGGGAGGCGCTGCTGAGCCAGGCCCAGTTCTCCCCGCAGGGTGGCTGCAGAGCTAGGGAGTTTTATAACTGAGGCAGAGAGACAAAAACGGGGCAGGAGAAAGCGATGGAGAAACACTAGGGGGGTGGCGGGGGACGAGGGGGCTGGAAAATGCCCAGCAAGAGAGAGACTGGGTGTTTTCAGGCAGAAAGGCCAGTGGGTGCCGCCCGCTCCCCAACTGTCTAGGTCAGTGGTTCTCAACCTGCGGCCTGTGGGCCGTTTGCGGCCCATATGACATCCTCAGGGCCATACAGCCGGTCCTGGATGCGGCCCACAATGGTAAATAGGTTGAGAGCCGCTGGTCTAGGTGAAAGGTGGAGAAGCTGAGAGATGGGCAGAGGCCGTAGGGCGCACGCTGCGATTATCCAGCCGCGCGTCCCAAACAAAGCCCGTCGGTGCCAGTTTTCCAGGGCGAGTCCGGCCGTGCGCTCACTGGTGAGATTTGTCTGCCAAGCCCCTCAGAAGGCAAATGGGCGCCTGCAGAAACAGCCCAACTTCGAGGCGCCGGAGGCTCTGAAGTGCCAGGGTTTGGAAGCTGGATGCCGAGGGCTGCCCGGCTCCCACCGCAGAAGAGAACCGACGTGGGGGGGGGGCTGCAGCTGCGCTCCCCTGGCAGGGGGGCATGGAAAGGCCAGCGTGGGGGGAGCGGTGGGATGGCACTGAGCAGGTGAGGGTCAGGGGAGCGCCGGTGGCGTGAACACGATCCAGTGGCTGGAAGTTGAAGCTGGGGCTGGAAACAAGAAGTCCATTTTGAACAGTGAGCGTGGCTGCGGGGGCAACCTGGGGTGATGGTGGTGCTGGGCCATTGCAGGGCAATGCAGTGACAGGACGCCTTCCCAGGGGGGTGGGGACCATGCCACCCTGCTCTCTGTTGCTTTTTGATCCTGGGCAGGAGAGATACTCAGCTGGCCACCCCCTTTCTCCATTCTGCCCGCTGGGGCGGGTTCCTTTCCTGCCTCACTGCCCTAGCTGCACCAGGCGGGCACAACTGGGCAGGTATGGTTGATGCTGCTGCTCTGAAGCCTCTGCTGGGCCGTGGCCTGTTGCTACGTGACATCTCCTCGTGGGTGTCTGGCATCATCTTCAATCTGGACCAGTCCCTAGGTCCTCAGACCCAGGCTTTGGCTAGGCCTCGCTGATTCTTTCTGCAGAATATCCCCGAGCTATGGCCCTGCCCAGCCGCCCACACAGCGAAACGCTTGGCCGGGTTCTCCTCCTCTCGCAGCTCGACTATTGCCACTGTGCTAGGTGCTGTACATACAACAGTCCCCGCCCCCCAGGAGATTATAATCACCGTTGACCAGACAGACAAAAGGTAGGTGAACCCCATTTTACAGAAAGTGGAACGAGGCCCAGAGACATTGACTTGCCCCTGGTCACCCCAGGATGTCTTTGCACCTTGCGGGGAGGGACCCCAGTTCTTGTCTGACCTGTAACAGGTTACACAGAGCTGGGCTTAGCGCTCAGATCTGCTGAGTTCCAACCCGGTACCTGAACCCCCAGCTCAGCCTGTCCGCTCCCTCCTGCCCTTTCTCCAGTGCCTGATGTTTCTTGGCCAGCGGTGCTGAGCCCTGCGGCTTTCAACAAAGTTATCGGCAGGCCCAGCGCCCCCCCCACCTCCCCCAAAACTCAGCCCCTGGTGTCCAGGCCTCAGACTCAGCTCTGTCCCCAGGTGTCCAGTGATGCCCCCCCTCCCTGCGAGGGACGGAGGCTCACTGTCTAATGCACATCCCTCACTGGGGAAAGGTTTTGCCGCACACGCTGGTCTTGCCCGCTTGGGCTGGGCTCAGCCCGTCTTCTGCAGCGAGCTCTGTAATCGGTGTCGTCCTCAGCACCTTCCTTCAAGGCCCATAAAGCTTCTGCTAACAGCTGCCCTGGTTGTTGAATTCTCCAGCCAAAACGCCCTCTCGTGCACCACGGTTCTCTGAGGTACAAAGTGTGCGCCAAACCCCGCCGGAGCCCTCCCACTGTCTTCGGAAAAGGGGAAAGGTTAAAAGACAGGCTCTGCCTGCTCCCCGCAGCGTAGGCTGACGAGTGAACTGGGATGGCTTTGGTTTCCTGCTGGAGTTCAGCTGCAGGGTGATATCTTGCAGGGTGCAGGTCCAGTCTGCCCACTCAGCCGTGCGGCTCTCTGGGGCCTGGAAGGAGTGGCTCTTTAGGGGGATCCATCTGCCTTCAGGACTCCCCCCCTTCCATTTGCAGCCTTTGCTGCTACTTTCCTTCTCTTTCTCTTCTCCGCCTGCGAGGCGGCCTTTACTTCTGACGCCATGTCATGAGTCCGATATGGGCTGATGACTGGGCTTCCAGCCCAGAGAGAGACCCCAGGTTCCTTCATGCAGTGCAGGGCAAGCTGTTGCATGCTCAGAGAAGCTATGAGAGAGGCAGGGTGCGGGGAAGGAGTATCTTTATCGTACCAACGTCTGTGGGTGAGAGAGACGCGCTTGTCTCTCTAATAGCCTGGGCCCGACACGGCTCTGCCACCACGTACGTCGCACACGGCGCCAGCCCGTGGCTGACCAGTGTAGCACCGCTGAGCACTCGGTTACTAGAGTCCCTGAGAGAGCCCAGCCCACGACAGACCAAGCCCAGAGCCTTGCATGGGACCCGGGAGTGAGCCTATGGGGCAGGGGAGCTTGCTGGGCCTCGGGGGCGCTCCAGCTGGGCTGCCAGGCATCGCTTTGGCTGCAGCCAGGTCAGGCGGCCACAGCGAAAGCTGGGAGAAGCTGGAGCCGCGTTGGGTGCATGGGAGCATCCGGTTTTCACCGCTGGGGCCAGCTGCGTGTCCCACCTGGGTGACCTGTGGCCAGAGACGCTCGACTGGCGGTGGGATTGGAGCTGCAGCTGCTCCTCCTCACTGCCCTTTCCCCTGGGCCCAGCAGGAGCCAGGTGCCCCCCATCCTGCAGGCAGGAGCTCCTGTGCTGGGCGCACAAGGATGGAGAGATGAGACACACTCCCCCCCGCAGCAGCTCATCTCACTTGTGACCTCGCAGAGAGGGGCTGGGTGCGGGGCGGGGAGAGCAGCTCGCGGCTCTGCCGTCTTCCCCCTCCTGCCGGGGCCGCGTCAGACCCCTGGCCATAGCTGCACTGACGCCTGCTCGTGTCTCTCCTCTCTCCTAGCACCTCACCTTTCCACTGCTCGCCACCACCCTGCTGGCTTCCTTCGGCTCCTCCCTGCTTTACGGCTACAACCTGGCAGTGGTGAACTCGCCGGCTGTGGTAAGAACTGGGTCCGTCTGTCTGTCTTTGTGGGGGAAAGTCGCTCCCTCCCCGGACTGGGAAATCCTAAGCCAGGCAGATACCTTGACCCAGCGGGTCTCCAGCAGGCAGATGAATTATACTGACCGCGGTGCGGCCACCTCTGGGGTGTTGAGCAGCAGGCCTAGGAGCAGGAAAAGAGAGGCAGCATCCAGGTGACGCTGCAGGGAGAAATGAGGGGATCAGGATGGGATCACCTGAGCCAGGAGGATGCCCTGCTCATACCCCGACTCTGACGAAACGCCCCATGGGAACTTTACTGACCATGACCGGGCAGGACCAACATTTACCCACCCCCACAGCGCCCCTTAGCACCATGGCTTAGTGCTGACGTGGAAGGAAGAGCCTCCCCTTACTAATTACCTTTGGGAAGTTCTCGCACTGATGCTAACAGGTCGGATCACAAAGCATCGTGGGGTCAGATCAGGGGCTTGGTAACCCAGCCCCCCCGGCACAGGGAGAAGCAGAGCGGGTTGAAGATTTCCCAGTAGAACGGTTTTGCCATTTTGTCGAAATCTAAACTTCCCAGGGAAACATGTCCTTTTTGACGACGTTTCACCGGGAAAACACTGTGAAGCCACGCATCGGCCCCAGTCGGACTGTTCGCTTTGACCTTGCCAGAATGGCCCGTTTCCGTTGGTCATCTGGAAACCGTTTTGGTTTGAAATCCGAGGTGGTTGTGGACAATATCAGATAACTTGGAAGGGAAGCTCGCGGCGTTGCTAAAACGGGAGGTTTCGACGGACCCGAAACGATGTATTTCCCGGAATTCCCTGGCGCAGGACATTTTGAAATTGGCTGTTTTCGTTCCTGGTTTGGAATGGAAGTGAAGTTTGAAATGTTGGGATTTCCCGCCCCCCAAATCCTGCATTTCAAGCCGCTCTGGTGCGAGGGGAAGCGGGACCAGCTCTCTGAGGTGTTGAGAGAGGAAGCCCTGAAATGATCAGAAGCTGGGAGTGTTACAGACACATTCAAAGACCCCGTAGGGCCGGCAATCCAAGCGCCGTGGGCACCCCGCTCTGCTAGCCCCCGTCTCTCTGCCTTGCAGCACATAAAGGCCTTCTACAATGCCACCTGGTCCCGGCGCTACGGGCAGAGCCTGAGCCAGGAGCTGCTCACCGTCATGTACTCGCTGACCGTCTCGGTCTTCGCCCTGGGGGGGCTGGTGGGCTCGTTTCCAGTTGGGATGCTCGTCACTCGATACGGGAGGTAAGATGGGTGCAGGAGGGGGGCAGGACAGGGGGCCCATAGGGGGTGCACCCGTAGCCTGGCTAGAGGAAATAGAGGGGAGGATGGTGGCTTGTCTGCCCCGGTGCCAGTCATGGGGTGCCCGCCTCTAGACCAGATGGAGCAGGGGGATGCCCAGCAAATGGAGTCAGCAGCATTAAGCTCTGCCAGGGGTAGCGGAGAGGAGAAGCCAGCCTGACACATGCCCCACTCTTATGGGGGCAGGGAGAGCTGCCAGGAATGCCCCCCCCCAAGCTCCCCATGGGACTGGGATGGAGAAGAGCGGGGAACGGCTGTTGGATGGAGGAAGAGAGAGCACGGAGCATCCTGCGGGGGCGTCATGCCCTGCAGAAGGGGGGCCCATGCCAGGTGGAAGGCTGATGTCCTGCCTGCCCCCCTGCTAGGAAGGGCACCCTTGTGCGGAGCACGCTGCTCGTCTTCCTGGCCGGCTTTCTGATGGGCTTCAGCCGCTACCTGGAGTCGCCCGAGATGGTCATGGCTGGCCGCTTCGTCATGGGGCTGCATTCAGGTAACGCCCTGCGTGGGCTGCCCCACCGCCTCCCAGGGGCTCTGCCTGGCTCCGGCACCCAGCCAGGCCTGCCTCGGCGCTGGCCCTGCTCTGCCCCTTGCTAACCCAGCGCCGGGCGGGTTTGCATCTCCCTCTGCGGCAGGAACGGGACCCGCCGGTGCCAGCCCAGACGCGCACGTGGCCGCGGCTCCGTCCGCCATGGGGTTGGGCTGCTGCATGGGCGGGAGGAGGGGGGCAGGACGGACCCGCTGGGGCTGTGCCCTCCTGGGGGTCAAAGTGCCTCATGACCAAGAGGGGTGTCCCGGGATTGAACAGCCAGGCCCAGGGCATTCTGGGAGGAGAGGAGCTTGGCTGGAGCCTGCCCGGGGAGCTGCCCCTCCGTCCCAGTTGGGGTATTGGGTCTAGGGGGGATCCAGAGGGTGCCCTGCCTGGTGCCCAGTGTGACTCCAATTTCCTCCCCCGCCGCCTCCACATCCCGCGTGGCTGCTCCTTGCCCTGCCCATCTCCTTCTCCGCCCCAGGTATCTGTCTCAGCGTGGTGCCCATGTACCTGGGAGAAATCGCCCCCAAGACCCTGCGTGGCTTCCTGGGCCTGGTGCCCAGCATCTTCATCTGCCTGGGGGTCTTCTCCGCTCAAGTCCTGGGCCTGCCGGAGCTGCTGGGGGAGGTCAGTGCTGCTGAAATGCCCCTGAACCGCTGCTGCTTCCTCCCAGCCCCCATGAGCTCCGGCCCCGCGGGAGGGTGGCCAGGGATGGGGGCGTCTCCTGGGGGTCTCCAGGGTCCTGTGTCTGCTGTGCAAAGCGCTACGCTTGGGGAGGAAAAATCACATGCACAGCTGTGCACGGGGCCTGCCTGGATCTGCAGCTGGGCTGCTCTGACAAGGATCTCAGGGTTCCAGGGGCTCTGCCAAAGAGGCTGAGATCAGGCCGGGGAGTATTAACTGGGTGGCCGCACGTCCCACCCGGGAGGTGATCATCTCGCTCGGCTGGAGTCCTGTGTCCAGTTCCGGGTGCCGCACTTTAGGAAAGCGGGGGAGTCCAGCAGAGAGCAGCAGAAAGGATCAAAGATTTGGAAAGGCTGATCTCTGAGGAAAGGTTAAAACCCTGGGCATGTGTAGTCTGGAGATAGGAGGTCTGAGGGGGATCTGGGTACAGACTGCGCATCTGTGAAGGGCTGGTATCAAGGCGACAGGGATCAATTGTTCTCCATGTCCACTGAAGGCAGGACAAGAAGCAATGGGCTTAATCCGCAGCGAGGGAGATTTAAATTAGACATTAGAATCATAGAATATCAGGGTTGGAAGGGACCTCAGGAGGTCATCTAGTCCAATCCCCTGCTCAAAGCAGGACCAAACCCCAACTAAATCTTCCCAGCCAGGGCTTTGTCAAGCTGGGCCTTAAAAACCTCTAAGGATGGAGATTCCACCACCTCCCTAGGTAACGCATTCCAGTGCTTCACCACCCTCCTAGTGAAAAAGTTTTTCCTAATATTCAACCTAAACCTCCCCCACTGCAACTTGAGACCATTACTCCTCGTTCTGTCATCTGCTACCACTGAGAACAGTCTAGATCCATCCTCTTTGGAGCCCCCTTTCAGGTAGTTGAAAGCAGCTATCAAATCCCCCCTCATTCTTCTCTTCTGCAGGCTAAATAAGCCCAGTTCCCTCAGCCTCTCCTCGTAATCATTTTTGTTGCCCTCTGCTGGACTCTCTCCAATTTGTCCACATCCCTTCTGTAGTGGGGGGCCCAAAACTGGACACAACACTCCAGATGTGGCCTCCCCAGAGCTGAATAGAGGGGAATAATCACTTCCCTCGATTGGCTGGCAATGCTCCTACTAATGCAGCCCAATATGCCGTTAGCCTTCTTGGCAACAAGGGCACACTGCTGACTCATATCCAGCTTCTCGTCCACTGTCATCCCCAGGTCCTTTTCCGCAGAACTGCTGCTTAGCCAGTCGGTCCCCAGCCTGTAGCGGTATATGGGATTCTTCCTTCCTAGGTGCAGGACTCTGCACTTGTCCTTGTTGAGCCTCATCAGATTTCTTTTGGCCCCATCCTCCAATTTGTCTAGGTCCCTCTGGACCCTATCGCTACCCTCCAGCGTATCTACCTCTCCCCCCAGCTTGGTGTCATCCATGAACTTGCTGAGGGTGCAGTCCACCCCATCCTCCAGATCATTAATGAGGAAAGGTTAAAACCCTGGGCACATGTAGTCTGGAGACAGGAGGGAAACGTTTCTAACTCTACGGTGCTTAAGATCTGGAATAGGCGCCCGAGGGAGGTTGTGAAATCCCATCACTGGAGGCCTCTAGGAAGGAGGTTGGACAAACACCCCTCAGGGGTGGTCTGGGTTGATTTGGTCCTGCCTGAGCGCATCTCCCTGCCTGGCTCGTTGCAGGATGGATACTGGCCGCTCTTCCTGTCCCTGGTGGTCATTCCCGCCCTCCTGCAGCTCCTGCTGCTGCACTGGTTCCCCGAGAGCCCCCGCTACCTTCTGATTGAGAAGAACAACATCTGGGGGGCCACGGATGGTGAGTGGAGCCCTCCTGGCGGGGGGGGGGGGGTGGCTGATGTATCCCCTAGGGCCAGGCTGCTCCCAGAACCGGGTGAGGGGGGATTAGGTCTTACTGTGTCCTACCCCGTCCCAAATCCCAAAGAGACACATGATCCTGGAACTGCAGGCCCAAGAGCCCCCGGACCAGATTCTGTGCTGGTGCAAATCAGCTACGGCTCTGCTGACCATCCAGAGCACTGCCTCCCCCTCCCGGCCCAGCCAGCTGCGGGAAGGCTCCTGCCTGCTCATCTCTCCAGGGTCCCGGGTTCAAGCTGCAGTCCGTTGTGCTGCAGAGGTGGCTGCATCCTCCCCCAGCCCTGACCCAGCAGAGGGGCGTCCTCTGTGCTGGGGCTGCTGACAGGGGAAGCCGGGGAGGGCCAGGTGCGGAGGGGCATTTCCCTCTTTGTTGCACCATAAAGTGTCTGGGTGCCTCCAACCCTCCTGACGTCAGCCGCACAGCGCGATGGGGCAGGGCAGGGCCTGTACAGAGGGGAACTGAGGCACAGGGGCGCACAGCTGGGAATTGAGCCCAGATCGCCTGCGTCCCAGCCCAGTGCCTTCGCTTTGCACCGCTCTCCCCAGCGCTGCGCTGGTTCCTGGGGAAGGACGACGTGCGGGACGTGCTGGAGGAGATGCGGGAGGAGCAGCACTCGCTCTCCTCCGTGGAGACCATCTCCGCCTGGCAGCTCCTGCGGGACGGCTCCGTGCGCTGGCAGACCCTCTCTGTGGCGGTGATCAACATGGGCATGCAGCTCTCTGGGATCGATGCGGTAAGTGCTGCCAGGCCCACGCCCCATGCCCTGGAGGGGAGCTGCCCTCGGCCCCCCACGTCCCCTGCCCCAGAGAGGGGCTCCCCCAGGTCTCCCTGCACCTTCGGCCCTGGTGGGGAGCTCACCCCGTGCCCTGGAGGGGCTTCTGTCTCCCAAGAGCCTCCTGGCCCATTGACTCCTTGGCCTAGCAGGGAAATAGTCGTGCTGATCATGCAGCAGGTCCCTGCAATGGGGACCCTGGCCCAGGAGGAGCTAGGCTGAGCCCCCCCAGCTCGTCTCACCCAGAGCCAGCGAGCATCCCTGGGTCGGAACAGCCTCCAGTCCCATCCCAAGGCAGGCTTTGAACTGGCGACCGGGGGGCTCCTGCAGTGCCATGGCCAGAGCCCCCAGGGGTGCCCCCACCCCTGCTTGTGGTTCCTGAGTCCTGGGGGGGCCTCTCTCCCCCCAGCCCCACCACTGACCCCCTGCTGTCTCCCCTCCCCTCGGCAGATCTGGTTCTACACCAACACCATCTTCCAGCACGCCGGCATCCCGGGACCCGAGATCCCCTACACCACCGTGGGCACGGGTGCCATCGAGGTGCTGGCCGGCCTGCTCGGCGTAAGTGTCGCCGTGGCACCGGCAACACGGGGGGGGGGGGCGTGACCCCCACTGAGCAGTGTTAACCGGGGTCAGGGAGAGGTCACAGTGGGGGGCTGGGAGGGGATGCCGGTGGGGGAGAGGGCACTGGGGAGGGGTCACAGTAGGTGAGTTGGGGGACAGGAGGCAGTGCAGGTGGGGGGAGGGGTCACACTGGGGGAGATGGAGGTGGCAGGGGTGCAGGTGGGGGGAGGGGTCACAGTGGGCAAGGTGGAGGGGTGCTGGGGAAAGGGGTCCCAAGGGCTCATTCTGGCTCTACTAACTTCAGTGGAACAGCCCATAATAACCCCTGTGAGCTGAGGCCGTCGCTGGGCGGGGGGGCTGGTTTACGGCTTTCCCCCTCAGTGCCCAGCCGGCTGAGCTAGGAGCCCCCTTGCCCCCGGCTCCACCCCAGCCCGGCTTAGCCGGAGAGTTGGTGCCGCGCTGGGCGGATTTACAGCCCTCGGCCCGTGGGCGCCCAGCCAGCCGCTGGAGCTCAATTCGCAGGGCGGGCGGCCCCCAAGTGGCCTGGCCTGGGTGAGCAGCAACCCCGGGCAGGGACCCCAGCCCCTCAGCCCCCGGCCTCCCAGCAGCAAGCGGCCCCAGCCGGCGGGCAGGAGCCCAGCAGGCTGGCAGCGCCGGTGGGCTGATTGATCCGTGGCACGGACACCAACGGCCCCCGATGGACGCGCCGAGATTGGGTCTAAAATTACAAGCATTTGTTCTGCTGCCAATATCCCCCCTGCTGCTGCGGCTGCTCTGGCTCCCCACGCCCGCCCCACGCCCCAAAGCAGCTGCCTGCCTCCACTGGGCACTCGGGGCAGCTCAGGCCTGGCTGGGGCCAGCTTGGCCCCGCTGCTCCGGGTCACTTCTGCCCTGGGCCCTGGGATTCCAGCCCATGAGTGAAGGGGACAGGCGGCTGCTTCTCTGTCCCCTTTCAACATGCAAGGCCCTAGAATGCCGGTGGCCCCTGCTCTAACCACTAGCCTGCCCTCCCTCCAGGGCTGGGAAAAGAACCCAGGAGTCCTGACTCCGACAGTGCCCCCCCCCGCTCTAACCACTAGCCTGCCCTCCCTCCCAGGGCTGGGGAAAGAACCCAGGAGTCTGAGAGGTTACCGGGTAAGTGTCCCACCCTCACCCTCAAGCTCCTGAGTCAGCCAATGAGAACTGGGTCTGGTGACGTCATATATTGGTGCTGTGCGTTATTGACTGAGCGTGTTGTCGCTCTGTGCCCTGTGGGGCGGGTGGGTGTTGGGGGCGGGTGGGTCTCATGCCCTCTCCTGCTAACACGCCCCGTGCCGCTGGCTTTTCCCTGCAGTGCTTCACCATCGAGAAGCTGGGCCGGCGGCCGCTCATCGTCATCGGCTTCTCCTTCATGGGCGTCTGCTGCGCCAGCATCACCTTGGCCCTGGTGCTGCAGGTAGGAGCGTCCCACCAGGAGGCGCCTCGCCCTGGCACCTCCCTCCCAGACCAGCAGGGCCAGCGCGCTAATCCCGGGTACCGCCCCCGCCCCCCGCGAGCGCGGCTGGGCTCCTGTAGCCGGCTGTTTCGGGACACGCCGATGAGTTACATTGGAGTGAGGCTGGAGCAACCCACTGGCACCATTGCAGGGCAGCCAGGGGCCGGATCCTGCTCTGGGGCTCGAACCGTGAGAGAAGCTTCTTTAGCCAAAGCCACTTTGTGTCTGATGCAGGCCGGGAGAGAGCTGGGTGCGAAGGGGGACTGCGGGTCTGGAGTGAGAGGCACCGGCACAGCTGGGCGGGCAGGACTGGGAAAGCATGGGGCTGTGGGTCGGGACTGAGGGGCACTGGCCGAGCTGTGTGAGGACTTTGCCTGGCATGTTGCAGCTGGTTTTCTCTCCCTCAGCCCTTCGGTTTCCCACAGAGCAGCTCCCCAGATTTGCTTTGCAAGGAGGCGGTAACTGGGCTGTTAGTCTAGCAGCGTACAGCCCCCCCCAGCTTCTGCACTTTCCCTCCCCAGGCTACGGTGCCCTGGATGCGCTACCTCAGCGTAGCCTGCGTCATCGGGATCATCGCTGGCTTCTGTATGGGACCAGGTGGGTGCCAGGGCCTCCCTTCTCTAAAACAAACAACGGAATGGCTGGGGGCTGCGTGTCGGGGCACCTGGGTGGTAGGAGGGAGCCTTAGACTGGACTAGCAAGCTGGGGGGCTGCAGGAATCCAGTGAATTGGCAGAACTGGGTGGAAGGAACTTCCCAGATTCAGCAATGGCCCAAGTACATGAAGGGTCAGGATTTTCCTTCCTCTGAAACATCAGGTGACAGCACTGATAGGGGCCGGGCCATTGAACTGACCCACCAGCGCTGGATACAGTGTGGTCGGATGCACCATGCCGGACTTGGTAGCCCAGTGGTTTGATCTGGTAGGGTAGGACGTGGCAGACTTGTCTGGACCAATGGTGGGACCAAGGATGCAAGGTCCTGGGATGAGACCCTCACACACCCAGATCCAGGGAGGGCTGCGATGAGATTGCTCCCCTCCATATCCCCCCCTACGTTTAGCAAACTCCTCAAGACCCTTCTGCACATGCTAATAAACTTCTCTTACTTACTTAGTAGGCGAATGGTTTTCCACCTTTAAATAAGCGTGGAAGTGAGAGCTCCCTAAAAATGATGAACGAGGCCTGGAATGGTTTACCCAACTGATGTATGAGTGGGGCTGCCAACAGATCTATAATTCATTCTCAGCCCAGAATTTATTTGCTGTAATTACATCTTTAATTAGGGTTTTAATGGCTCATTGTTCACAAACAATGATGAATCGGACTTAAAAATACATATATATATATATTTATTCCTGGCGAGCTGTGAGTAACAGTCCATCAGGGGCTGCTTTTCCCCATGTGAAATTTTTTTTGCATTAAGTATCTTCATTAAAGCAAAAAGAAAAGGAGGACTTGTGGCACCTTAGAGACTAACCAATTTATTTGAGCAGAAGCTTTCGTGAGCTACAGCTCACTTCATCAGATCCGATGAAGTGAGCTGTAGCTCATGAAAGCTGATGCTCAAATAAATTGGTTAGTCTCTAAGGTGCCACAAGTCCTCCTTTTCTTTTTGGAAATACAAACTAACACGGCTGCTACTCTGAAACCTTTATTAAAGCAGTGCATATGATTGCTTTCCTACTCTGGGAGGTTCTGGTCAAACCATCATGGTTAATATCATAACTGTACATATTGCAACAAACTCAAAGTCCCCTAGCTACTCAGGGTTTCAGGGCAACCCTGGGGATAGAACTGGCCTCTCGTGCTCCAAAAGCACAGGCCCCAACGCTTGAGTGAAAGGAGAATCTCCCTCAATTATTATCAGTATAGGGCAGATGAGACACAGTGGAACAGTTATGAGTTCACACACTAGATGGCAGTGGTGCATAAAGCCCCATCTTTTCTCTATGGTATTTTTAAATTCTTTTGAAATACTGTTTGAATTAATATCTTGTGGTATCTGGAGGTCTCAAATTGCTTTCCCCATGGGGTTGGATACAGGGTCAGTAATAGGATGCAGTCTTTCACCTTTAAGTAGCCAGTTCAAATCCAGCCACAGGTAAGCAGTGTCCAGCCGCCCTCACCTGGAATGAACAAGTGGTCTCAGCCCAGTTCTTGGTGGACAAATTGGGCCAATGAAAAATTTCCCATCAAAGCTATTTTTCAACAGCAATTCGTAGAGCTGATCAGAAAATGGTATTTCCATCCCACAGGAAATTCCAACCTCTGATAAAATTTGTTTTTGTTCTGAATTGGGCTAAAAAGTTGGACTGTTTCACCAAATGAACCATTCCAAAATGTTGTATTTGAAAACACCGAAAACACCTTATCAAAATGTTTCACTTGAATAATGTTAGGTTTCAGAGTAGCAGCCATGTTAGTGAGCTGTAGCTCATGAAAGCTTATGCTCAAATAAATTGGTTAGTCTCTAAGGTGCCACAAGTCCTCCTTTTCTTTTTTTGAATAATGTTGTTAATAATTTTATATATATGTAAGTCTAAACAAAAGTTGGAATGAAACAGAGTCGAAAGAACACACTCCTTTGGATTTTGAATAGTTTCTAAACTTTTTCTGCAGTAAATTGGTCCATCAAAAAAACAATTTCAACCAGATCTAAAAATTGCATTTTCTACAACAAAACTTCATGAAAAGCGTCTGCTTTCTGCAGAAAACTTAGATTTTTCATCAGCAAATGGAATAGCTGAAACCCAAACTATTTCAGCTGTGAAATCCTGCCCTGGTGTCTCATGGGAGTTACAGTTCAGTTGCCCCATGGCCACTTTCTCCTCTGTGGGCTCAACTCCTCAGCTGGACTACATCTCCCATGGTGCACTATGGCCAGGGACTCCCAAGATGCACCACCTGCCCTCCAAAAGGTGAGTCCATGGTGCATTATGGGAGATTGGAGTCTGACAAGGGAACCTGGCTTATAGAGGAGAATGGGCGCATGAGAGACCTGTACTTCAACTCCCATAAGGCAACGCGGTGGAATTTCCAAATTGAATTATTTCAGTTTTCGAACTTTGGCCAAAAATCAAAATTTTAAGTGGAAAAGTTTGATTAAAAGGATTTTTCATTTTCGTCAAATTTTTCTGCGGAAGAACAAACCTGTTGTGACCGGCTCTCTGGACCAGCCCCCCCACAGCCCTATCCCCCGCCACATTAGCAGCCTCAGCAGAGAGGCCCAGCCCCGGGGCTGAGCTGGGTGCATTGGTGGGGGATGGGGAAGCTTGCCCTGCAGTAGCCCAGGCTGTACCTGCTGAATCGCTGGAGCCCATTAGTCTCCAGGGCACCTTTGCAGGGACCAGCCTGGCGCTTGGGGGAGCGGCTGTGTGATGCGTGAGCCGTGTCTGGTTCTGGGAGGGGCAGGGCGCTGTGCTGGGGATTGCAGAGTCGCTGGAGAAACCCGTGCTTTCTCACCAAGGGCCGCTCCCCTATGGGCCCCGGAAAGGCACTTGCACAGCAGCTAGAGACTTGACCAGCCAGTTCGGCAGGTTGCTGGACCCCCGGTGGGGCAGGCCCTGGGGGCGGGGAGGGAGAGAGAGGGTCCCGATTCTGAGATCACTCACACACCTTTCAGTCCGGAGTCACTCCTGGTTCACGCCCCAGACCCCGGGTTTCACCTTGGCCTTTTCCTGGGAGGCTCCAGGCTGGCACCTGGCTACTGACGCTCTTTACCCTCTTCCCCCACCGGATGCAGCCCAGAGGCATCTGTGGGACTCGAGCCCCCTGGCACGTGGTCTCCTCATGGGCACCCGCCGCAGAGACCGCTAACCCTCTCGTTGCTGGATTGCGATCCCATGCCAGCATACAAGGCATTTAACCCACCTCTCACCTGCCCAGCTGGTGTGCCCTTCCTGATGACCGCGGAGCTCTTCAAGCAGTCGCACCGCCCCGCTGCCTACATTGTGGGGGGGTCCCTGAACTGGCTCTCCAACTTCACTGTGGGCTTCGTCTTCCCCTTCCTACAGGTAATGACCAGCCATGGGTGTGGCCTGGGGTAGCACCCAGCAGCCCCAGTCAGGGATCAGGGTGCTAGGTGCTGTCCACGCACACTGGAAGATGGTCCCTGCCTCAGATAGCTAACAGCCCACCCATAGACAAGAGGTGGATACAGACAGATGGAGGAGCATGAGGGAATAATAGGACGAAATCAGAGGGCAGCAAGTTTTTAACAAGCCCAGTGAAACACAGTCTCATGCCACATGTTGTTAACCTGAGGAACTCACTGCAGCAGGAGATGAAGTCCTGATAGATCACTTCTGCTGCACCCCACTGCCTCATACACTAGGCCTGTTACCCTTCACAGAAGGAAACGAGGTTGGTTGGGCATGATTTTTCCTTGACTGTAAAGTGCGACATTCCCCAGAGTACAATCGGGACCAAAGAATAGCTGTGTCCCCTCAGTCCTCCAACCTGGGGGGTCCTTTACGCTGCTTTGCTCTGAGAGCTACCACTCCTGGTCTGCTCACATACAGCCTCCAGCATGCAAATCACTCCCAAGTCCCAGGTATACTGTCTGAGTGTTGTAGCCAGCCACTCATGAATTACATTGGAGAGCGGCACCAGCAAATTCCCAGTCCCAAACGCTCCCCAGAAATGTCTGGCTGGTACTGCCCGGCATCCTCCTGGACAATACAAGCTCATATAAAGTCTGTCATTTATTAATAGAAAATCATACACACCCTTCTTGCTACCTCAAATAGAGTTTCCCAAACACTTCAATTCAAACATGTTGCTTTAGATCAAACAAAACAACAAGTTTATTAACTACAGAAAGCTAGATTCTAAGTGATCACAAGTAATGAGGCATAAAAGTCAGAATTAGTTACAAGAAAATTAAAAGTAAAATGCAACTAATGCCAAACTTAACAAAACTAAATGAATCCAAAGCAAAGGTCACTCTCACTTGTCTCTTCAGTCCTACTGACTGAACTCTTTTCAGGCAGGATCTCTCCCCCAGTCCAATGCTTCCTTGTTCTTCAGCTGTTGCTGATGCCAGGGGTAGAGAGAAAGGTAGAGGCGATGTAGTACACTTTTACTCCTTTGCTATAGTTCCTTCCCTTCTTTGGGAGTCATCTCCAGCCAAGGTTCAGGAGACAGAAAGTCTGTGTGGGTGGGAACGGCAAGCTGTTCCTTTGTCAAGATGTAGATTTTTTTTCACCCACACCCTCTTTCCTGCCAAAGAATGGCCATTTAACCAGGTGATGGCCCATTTAATCTTGTGGACACCTGGCCAAGGCATCAGCCAGCCTTTTGTCTGTGAGGAACTGGTTTGTGGCTGTTCCCCAGACTTAGAGCATGTCTTAGCAATACCATATGGTAGAATCTTATAACTATACATACAATGTTGCCACACACATTTTACCAGAACAATAATGATCAGCAAATTATGAGTTTTCAGATGATACCTTGCAAGCCATACTTTGTACAAGATTTATCATAGGGGTTCAGACTGTCACAAAGTCCATGCTGGCAATTCCTCATAATCCTACTATCCTCCAGGGGCTTAAAACTGATTGTTTAATAATCTGTTCAGTATCTTTCTAGGTCTTGAAGTTAGGCTGACTGGTCTGTAATTGCCTGGGTCCTCTTTATTCCTCTTTTTGAAGATAGGTTCTGGGTTTGCCCTTCTTCAGTCCTCTGGGACTTCCCCCATCCTCCCTCAGTTCTCTCAAAAATAACAGCTAATGGGGCAGAGATTGCTTCAGCTAGCTCCTTAAGTACCCTGAAGTGAACATCATCAGGCCCTGCTGACTTGAATACCTCTAACTTTTACCTCTTTAACCTGTTCCTTCCCAGTTCTGGCTCAAGATCCTTCCCATGTTAATAATAAGCGTGTTAAGCAGCTGGTCACCATTAACCTTCTGCGTGAAGAAAAATATCCTCTGGGGGGGCGTTCTCATGCTACAGGGGTCTCTCCAAGGGGCAGAATTAAACCACTGGCCAGGGACATCATGGGGGAGGCTCCACCTTCCTCTCTATCGGGTTTGCCCTACCTGGCCTCCTCACCTTGGGGCAAGGGCCCCACCCGTGGGAATGGATTTCTCCTGGCAGCCAGTCCCATCCAGCAGGTCAGTGCCAGCACCCCATTGCGCACATGAGGGATGGAGGCACAGAGAGGCTAAGTGACTAGCCCATGGTCACGCATGGAAACTGTGGCGCAGCAGGGCCTTGAACCCAGGTCTCCTGAATCCTGGCCCAGCATCTTACCCACAAGCCCAGCCTCCCCCTGGAATTGTAAGGCACCAGCCCCTGCTGAAGGGGAGGTGCCCGAGGCTCAGTGGGGCGGTGGAACAGCCCCGTGGGGTGGGAGGCAGAGAACAGGACTAGGGGCACGAGTGGGCTGGGCCCCTCCAAGGTGGGATGCAGTGCTAGGTGGGCCCAGGGCCAGCTGGGAATCCCTTCTGAGGCCGCGTTCTCTCGTTGCTCCAGATGTCAGCCGGCGCCTTCTGCTACCTGGTGTTCTGCGGGGTCTGTGTGCTGGTGGCCCTTTACGTCTACATCGTCATCCCCGAGACCAAGAACAAAACTTTCATGGAGATCAACCAGATCTTCGCCACCCGCCACCCCTTCCTCGCTGCCCCGGCCGGCGCCGTCAAGATGGTCCCGCTCGGCAGTTACGGGGCCCTGGAGAACAGCTCCCTGGAGCTCTCGGGATCCAGCCGGGAGTGACCCACTCTTCTTCCCCCTGTTGTAGCACCCCAGCCCTGGCGGGTCAGGCCAGGAGGAGGGCTGGGCTCAGATGCGGGTGGGGGGTGGTTGCTGAGGCTGCAGATTAATTCCCTTCCTTTAACCTCTTCCTGCCTGGCTCGGTCCCAAAGGCCATGAGCGGTCGGTGGGGTTGGAGGCGTCGGGATTGAGGGGAACCGGCAGTGCTGGGGGGGCGGGGAAGGAGGCCAGGGCTGCGACAGGAGATGGGCTGCGGGTCGGGTGTGAGGGTCGCTGGGCCCAGGCTCTGTCCCTCCCCATCCCACCAGTTGCCTTCTCCTCCAGGAGTCCCAGGGCAGCTGCTCCAGGTCGCTGCTCTCCAGCCCTGCAGGGCATCGGGCCTGGATCACCCTGCACCTACCCTGCATGGCGGAGTTGGTGCCAGCCTGGGGCAAAGAGCCAGCAGGCTCAGCGGCTGCCCACTGTCCCCGTGGTCAGGGGAGAACCCCTGCTCCCCCCAGGGCCTCGGCTGCCCCTGGCTGGGAGCTGAGTGGGGGCTCATCCCTGGGCTCCAGCCTGGGCGTTGGAGTCTTTCCTCTCCCCACCATGAGCTCTCTGGGTTTTCCCCTTGGCACGGTGAGCCAGTGCCGTGGGTGAAGCAGCCGCAGCCGGCCCCACCTCTGGAAGCGGTGACATCACCGCGGTGGGCAGGTGTTGATTGGCTGGTGCTGCCGGGGTGTCATTCCTGGAAGGACCACCCTTGAAGAAGCGGGATCTTCTTGGAAGGCCCTGGGGCAGGGGGCAGGCGGATCCTGCCCGGGTCCTGGGTGTGACGCCCAGGGGGAGGGAGGTCCCGGGGAATTGAATAAAGGAAATTGCCTGTTCTCAGGCTGCAGTCGTGTGCGGTGCTGGGGGCGGGTCATTCCCTGGACCTGATTTGGGCTCCACAGTCCCCAGAGCGGTTGTCTCATTAAACACGGAGATACGTCAGCAGACCTATGGAACGGGGCTGCGGGTCGGGAGTGAGGGGCACCGGCAGTGCTGGGGGGGCAGGGAGGAGGCCAGGGCTGCGATAGCAGATGGGCTGCGGGTCGGGAGTGAGGGGCACCGGCAGTGCTGGGGGGGCGGAGAAGGAGGCCAGGGCTGCGACAGGAGATGGGCTGCAGGTCGGGAGTGAGGGGAACCGGCAGTGCTGGGGGGGCGGGGGAGGAGGCCAGGGCTGCGACAGGAGATGGGCTGCGGGTCGGGAGTGAGGGGCACCGGCAGTGCTGGGGGCGGGGAAGGAGGCCAGAGCTGCGACAGGAGATGGGCTGCGGGTCGGGAGTGAGGGGAACCGGCAGTGCTGGGGGGGCGGGGGAGGAGGCCAGGACTGCGACAGGAGATGGGCTGCGGGTCGGGAGTGAGGGGCACCGGCAGTGCTGGGGGGGCGGGGAAGGAGGCCAGGGCTGCGACAGGAGATGGGCTGCGGGTCGGGAGTGAGGGGCACCGGCAGTGCTGTGGGGGGGGCAGAGAAGGAGGCCAGGGCTGCGACAGGAGATGGGCTGCGGGTCGGGATTGGGGGGAACCGGCAGTGCTGGGGGGCGGGGGAGGAGGCCAGGGCTGCGACAGGAGATGGGCTGCGGGTCGGGATTGAGGGGCACTGGCAGTGCTGGGGGGTGCGGGGAAGGAGGCCAGGGCTGCGACAGGAGATGGGCTGCGGGTCGGGAGTGGGGGGGCCGGGGGGGGGGGGGGGGGGGGGGGGGGGGGGGGGTGGAGGAGAGGGGGGGCACCGGCAGTGCTGGGGGGGGCGGGGAAGGAGGCCAGGGCTGCGACAGGAGATGGGCTGCGGGTCGGGAGTGAGGGGAACCGGCAGTGCTGGGGGGGGGGGGGGGGGGGGGGGGGGGGGGGGGGGGGGGGGGGGGGTGGGGGGGGGGGGGGGGGGGGGGGCGGGGGGGAGGAGGCCAGGGCTGCGACAGGAGATGGGCTGCGGGTCGGGAGTGAGGGGCACCGGCAGTGCTGGGGGGGCGGGGAAGGAGGCCAGGGCTGCGACAGGAGATGGGCTGCGGGTCGGGAGTGAGGGGAACCGGCAGTGCTGGGGGCGGGGGGGGGGGGGGGGGGGGGGGGGGGGGGGGGGGGGGGGGGGGGGGGGGGGGGGGGGGGGGGGGGGGGGGGGGGGGGGGGGGGGGGGGGGGGGGGGGGGGGCGGGGGGGGGAGGAGGCCAGGACTGCGACAGGAGATGGGCTGCGGGTCGGGAGTGAGGGGCACCGGCAGTGCTGGGGGGGCGGAGAAGGAGGCCAGGGCTGCGACAGGAGATGGGCTGCGGGTCGGGATTGGGGGGAACCGGCAGTGCTGGGGGGGGCGGGGAGGAGGCCAGGGCTGCGACAGGAGATGGGCTGCGGGTCGGGATTGGGGGGCACCGGAAGTCCTGGGTGGGTGGGGAAGGAGGCCAGGGCTGCAATAGCAGGGGGAGTTTGGCAGGACTAAGGAATCGGGGTGGGGGAGGGGGGTTGTGAGGCTGCAAATCAGTTTTGTGGATTCGCCCCTTGCTCAGACCTGATGTGGCGGCCTCTGTCCTGGGCAAGGGGAGGCCGAGGCTTGGTCAGCGGGAGCCGCCTGGCGGTGCCACCCGGGCGAATGACAGATCCCCACTCCCCCCATGTGCCCCTCGCTGAGCTGACTCCTGCAGGGGTTGGATGGGGATGGGAGAGGAGCCCGGCTCAGCCTCCTGGCCGCTCTCTGGGGACAGCCTGCCCGGGCAGTGGGGGGCCGCATGTTGCATTGGCCGGGCCCTCGGTCGGGGGTCCCTGTGCTCCAGGCTAGACACTCTCCCAGAGGGGATGTGCCACGTGGCACTTTGTCTGGTTGCTGGGATGGCACAAGCTCTGCGTCCCGGCGCCTCTTACCTGCCTGGGAGGAGGGAGGAGAATAGCAGCTCGATCTAGCGCAGGAGGAATCTCCAAGAGCCCCTGGGCGTCACTGCAGAGAAGCAGCCACACATTCAGCTCCAGGTCCCGGCCTCGCTGGGGATCTCAGCGGACGGAGCGGGATTCCCAGTCCCCATCTCTCCGGGCTCCACTCCCAGCCCAAAGCCAGATCTGCAGCCAGGTCCCGCGCAGGCTGGGGCGGGGCAAAGGGAGAGACTCCCAACTCTCTCCCCACTCCGGCGTGCTGATTTGAGCCTGGCCCCCTGTAACGAGGCTGGTTCTGGCGGGACCCCACTGAGAGTGCCAATTCAGGACAAATTGTTTCAAGTAGGGCAGTTACAGCCCAAGGCTGGGGTTTCTGTGCACACCGAGGCAAACCAAACCAGCCAAGCAGAGAAGACTTTGGTTTTACCCCACTGGCTAACCACCAGTCACACAAGCAATTCCCTTAGACACTCCAGTTTCCCAGTATCCCCACCAGTGCCACTCGTTATGGGGATGAATGGTTATGAAAACCAATACCCCTGTAAAAGAAAATAAGTTCTCTCCATCCCAAAGGACCAAGCCCCAGACCCAGGTCAATATACAAATCAGATCTTACCCACAAATCACGCTGTTACCAATCCTTTAGAATCTAAAATCTAAATGTTCATTCATAAAAGGAAAAGCTATAGATGAGAGCTAGGATTGGTTAAATGGAATCAATGACACAGAGTGATGGCCAAGTTCTTGGTTCAGGCTTGCAGCAGTGATGGAATAAAGTGCAGGTTCAAATCAAGTCTCTGGAGAACATCCCCAGCTGGGATGGATCTTTCAGTCCTTGGTTCAGAGCTTCAGGGTCGCAAAGTCCCTCCAGAGGTCAGAAGCAGGACTGAAGACCAGATGGAGGAGCTGCAGCAGGTTTTTATAGTCTCTTGCCATGTGGTCTCTGCTTTCTTTGTCCCAAGGACAAGCTGTCCCTCACACGGAAAACCTCAGAGTTCTGTCCATAGGCAGGTCCCTGCACACCTGGCTGAGTCCCAAGGCGTGTCTGCCTTCTCTCAGTGGGTCAGGTGTGTAGCTGATGGTCCTTAATGGGCCATCCAGCAGGCTAGGCAGAGCTGACACCAACCTGTCTGGGGTGTTCCCCAGAAGCAGAGCACAGGTTTGAAATACAGACAGTACAGAGCCAATATTCATAACTTCAACTACAAAAATGATACCCACATATAGGCAGCATAATTATAACCAGGAAACCTTAACCTTGTCTTAGACACCTCATTTGACCCCCTTTATAGAAGATTTGGTGCCACTACAGGACCTTGGTTGCAACGATGATCTATACGGTCCCAGCTTATGTCAATAATGTCACAACCCCCTAGAAACCAAAAGGTCAAAGGTTTTTTTCAAACCTCACACCAAGTTCTGATTGGCGTTCTGGGGCTGGGTCAGGCCCGTTCTTACCCTGCCAGCCCTGTTCTCCCACCTAGTTACACCCTCAGCTTGAGCTGGGCCCTGGAGTTTACAACCTCGGCTGCCTTGTAGTCATTGGTTTTGCAGGCCACAGATACCGGCGATGACCACTAGGTGTCCCCATCCATCAGCGCTAGGGGTAAGTGGACTGCAGGAGGGTAGGGGCTCAGGGCACGTGGTACCCGAGGGGCAGATCATAAGGGGGAGAGGGCCCCAGCCTGCTTGCTCAGGGTCAGGGTTGGTGCATGGCAGCAGACAGAGCCGAGGGCACCAGGTCTCCTGCTGTTTCTCCCCCACATCCTGCCCCTTGGAGGCGCTGTGGGGAGCCCGGAGAGAAGCTGGGCACCCTGGCAACCCTGGTGCACGGTCTTGTCAGTGCCAGGGATTTGCAAACAGCCCCTCTGCCTGTCCTATGTTCACTGGTACAAGCGTTCATCAGGGGACAGTGCATCAGGACTCCTGGGTTCTATTTCCAGGCCCATCCCTCACTTTCCTGGGAGAAGGGAGAGGTGGTGCATCCCCAGTGAGTGCTGCTATTCCCTGCCTAGGAAATGGGGATAGTGAGTGACCCACCTCCCCGGGGCTTTGTTAGTGCCCGCAAGGCACTTGGAGATCCGCAGCTGGCGGGCGCTTGAGTTGGCTTGCAATAGCCTGGCCAGCCTGAGGTGGAAGCATGCAGCTGGCTGGCTGGCGTGACCCAGCTAATACGGTGACGCGTCAGCTAAGGTGTCAAGACCCTGCAGGCTGCAGCAGGCGGCTGTCCCTATTGACACA